TTTTTATTCTTAATTAGTTATTTATTTTTTATTTTTTAAAGCAAATAAATATATTTTCTTAATTTTATTAAATGAATAAATGTATGTAATATCATGAATCTCAGAAAAGTAAAAAAAGTTAATAATTAAATAATGTAAGTATATGGAAAAATTATACACAAAATTTATCACAAACTATTTTATATTTATACTTTTACAATATATTTAATTCGAGAGACTTAGAGAGGGGCAAAAGCTTACTTTTAGCCCCTCACCTTATCAGATTTGAAGGTTTGAGCTTCTTATTTTATATTATGATATTTTTAACCCCTCACTTTACTAGATTTGTTGGTTTTAATCTCTTACCTTATATTATAACACTTTTAACCTCTTACCTATTAAAATTAAAGAAAGTAGCCCTCACTTTATAACATTTTGTTGGTTCTGTTAGTCGACTGTTAATTCTGTTAGTTAACTGTTAGTTAATTATTAGCTGATAAAAATCTCCCTTCAGTTAATAGAGTTAACAGAACTAAATTTATAATATTTCGTTAATTCTGTTAACTGACTATTAGTTGACTGTTAGTTGATAAAAACCTAGTTTCAGCTAACAGAGTTAATAGTCAGTACAAAATAAGGGTTATTTTCTTCGATTTTAATAGGTAAAGGGCTAAAACTTATAAATCTAGTAAGGTGAGGGGCTAAAAGTATTATAGTATAAGGTGAGGAGTTAAAACCTTCAAACTTGGTAAGGTAAGGAGCTAAAAATAGGTTTTTGTCCTTAAAGAGCAGGGGAGGGGAGGGAGAGAAATGGAGGACAACGTAAGGAAAAGTGAAAGAATTAAAAGTAAAAAATAAAGGACTTTTCTCCTCTTCCTTCCTCTTCAAAATTTTCACTAACTAAATAGAAAAATTTTTATGCTTCCCTGTCCCTCAAACCAAATATACTATTAAAACATGCAAAATATCATCACTAAGCTAGTTAATTATGTCCCTACTTTGAAAACATATAAATTAATATCACTAAAGTAATACTTAACTATCATTTTGAGGTTGCACTATGGAATACAATCCAATTCTATATTCCTTAATTTCCTTTATTTATATTTTATGCAGCTCAAATTCAAAATTTTTTATTTTCACGAAAAAGAAATTATCACTAACTATTTATGTTTGTTCACAATACTTCATTATTTAGAGTGCCATTAATTAGAAAGTTAGAGATCTCATATTAAAATTTTAATACCTATAAATAAAAGACAGGTTGAGTTATTAAATACTAACTTCAAAATCTTAATTTAAAATTAAAGTTAAAACTTTAAATCTCTATATCGTTAGATAGTTGACAATGATGTAAAAAATAAAATAAAAAATTAAAATTTTAACACCTAACGTGAAATGCTAGGAATTATACATTTTTTAACATCACAATAAGGGGTGTTCGCGGTGTGGTTTGATTCGAATTTTAACATTTTTTAATTCAATCCAATTTAATCGATTAGTAAAATTTTTAAACTAATCCAATCTACTATTATATGATAACCAAACCAATCCAATTTAAATCGGATTGGTGTGGTTCGGTCGGATTGATAGGTTTTTAACACTATTAAATATATGAGATAATGTACATAAATTTAATATTAAGTAAAAAACATAAATATAAAATACGTTAATATCCAAATAAATAGAAACATAATTAAAAAAAGTACAAATTATAAACAAA